CAAACTTCTTATTCATCTAAGAAATAGTGATTGTAATAACATGGCAGGAAGATAGACAAACCCTACAAAAACAGAGAACAGCAGTATGTTTGTAGCAGCTTGCAACGTGAATCTAAAGTTACCACTGAAGAGGAGCTATACTTATACCAGGAGTATCACACAAAAAGTCTACTGTAATTTTCTGACTACTCAATTCTTTTAAGTCTTCAAATTAAGTTGTCTGTATGAGTTTGCACTACAACATCAAGATATGCAGACAAATTAGAATTCAGATAAAAACAAAGACAATGAGAAGCTTAGAAATGCTGACTTACGTAAAGACGACAGCATGAAACAGCACTGTTCAGTCTGTAGACTAGACTGGTGGAAGACATGATAATGGTCTTTCATATCCCTGCCTATAGCAGGGGGGTTGGATGATCCTTAAGGTCCCTTCCAAACCATTCTATGATTCTAATGTTTCGCATGAATCATTTTTTGTTGGAGTTAGGCATAACACTTCTCAACTTCTTTCCAGAAGTTAAGGAAAAAAAAAAATTCATGTTTTTTTTTTTTTTTTTTTTTTTTGGTATAGCATTTGTTTACATATAGAATCATGCAAAACATTAGAAACATAGAATGGTTTGGGATATCTCCCACTAGACCAGGTTGCTTAAAGCCCTATCCAGCCTGACCTTGAATGCTTCCAGAGAGGGGGCATTCACAACCTCAGCAGGCAACCTGTTCCAGTGTCTCACCACCCTCACAGTAAAGAATTTCTTCCTAATACCTAATCTAAATCTACCCTATCGCAGTTTAAAACCATTTCCCCTTACACTGTCGCTACATGCCCTTCTAAAAAGTTCCTCCCCAGCTTTCCTGTAGTCCCCCTTCAGGTACTGGAAGGCTGCTATACGGTCTCCTCAGAGCCTTCTCTTCTCCAGGATGAAGAGACCCAACTCTTCAGCCTGTCCTCTTAGGGGAGGTGCTCCAGCCCTCTGATCATCTTTGTGACCCTCTTCTGGACCCTCTCCAACAGCTCCATGTCCTTCATGCATTGATGGCTCCAGAACCTGACACAGTACTCCAGGTGAGGTCTCACAAGAGTGGAGTAGAGCAGCAGAATCACCTCTCTCAACCTGCTGGTCACACTTCTTCTTATGCAATTAGGAGAAAAGCTTTATAGCAATAGGAATTTGAACAGGTTGCACAGCAAGAGAAAAAACTATTACAGAAATTTTAACAACAACAACAAAAAAATGGAAGTTATTGGGAATAATACTGATATAGTATTTCATCCAACTTGAGATTAAGATGGGAATCCCCCAAGTCATCTCCTTCTCTATTTCCTGATATCTCCAGAATCTTCTGGAATTCTTCCTAAGTTTTGTACTAGATATGAAGTACTCGCTTATTTTGATTAACAGATTAAGTTTATTTCTAAATGAAATTATGCTGTTTCAAAATAAATGTCAACATCAAGGGACAGCAGATGAGACCAATAAAGAACATGTATTTGAGAGGTTTTTGGAACAGACTGTACATATTCACTTTCCACATACTCTTTCAACAGATTTCAGGGAAGAAACTCCACTTTCTCTAAAGCTTCAAATGCCATATAAAGAAATAAATCAGCTTTGGCTGTTCCAGCTTAGAATTGCTGTATTCAGAAGCATCTTTGTGTAAAAAAGTTAAAACTTGAAGAAGCAATAACAAACATTTGTTTTGATCCTGTCAATAAACACATCTGAATAAATTTCTTCTACCTTTCTGTTGAAAGACAGAGAGGATATCTTTTCTTTACAAATACCACTAGGACCACTGAAGTCTGCAAGAGAGATTTGAAAACATTCTTAGTTCTCCTTGCAATCCACTACACACAGAAACCACAAGTATAGAGGAATCTCTCTGGAGAAGCCTTATAAATCACCTAAGAAAATAAAAGTAATCTTTCCAAATTATTCAGAAAATAATCAAGTAGTTACACTAATTGGGAAGATATCAGCCTCTACAGAAAATCTGGGTATGGCTGAAATTTTCACTGTTTTATAAAATGTTGGAAGAGTATGTTGAAATATTTCCCGTAAGAGAAAGTTTATCAATTTCCAGAGGGAATACAACTTATTTCTGGGAAGAAAGAAAAAAGTGCAAAATAGAAGAGTTTAGTAAGGGTTGCTGCTGCTCTTAGAGATGCTTCCCCAGGAGTTCAGGAAGATGTATGGAAACAGGACTGTAAATATACAAGCTCTTCTCCTTGAAAAGTAGACTAAAGAAATTCATGGGAGATTTTTCTTTATACAAATCTAAAGAAGTTGTCTTTTTTTTTTTTTTTTTTTCTTCATGAAATTCCAGAGTGGTAGGAAAGTAGAACAAACAGATAAAGGATTTTAATCAAGATGGATTACTCATCAACGGATTCCATAGGATATTTTATGAAACTAGCGGAAAGAAATTACTCCTTGATAATTATTCACAGATGAATTCACAGGAATAAATTTTCCATTAAAAAAATCTAAAAATTACATTAAAAAGAAAGGATAAAGTCCATCCAAGCACCTTCTGCATAAAACTTAAGCTGCTCTGGTAATTTTACTGGAGCAAAATAGGTGAATTTCTGTAACAGAACCTTTACTCCATTCAATATGTGAATAACTAACCAAAATGCAAATAAAACCAATGTCACCTCTCAAATGTTTCCCTGAGCTGCAAACAATACTGCTTCCTTATTCAGATTTTGTCAGACAGCTATCATTCAGTCTTCAAATTATTCAAGACTATGCAAACATAACGTCCAACTCTACAAAAGCCCTTGGTATTTCCATGTCAAAAAGTACAGAAAATGCAGTCTGTAACCAAACTTTCCGTAACTGTCTCATTTCTATACAAGAAAATTTAGATATTGTAATATCCTTCCCTGAGATCTCTCTTAACTGATGATATCAAGTGCCATTCTTTTTGTCCTCTCAAACAAACAAATATTTTGCTCATGTTCTTTATCAAAGTTTGCAACTTGTCAACCAAGCTTTCAGGGCTAATGATAGTAGCAACAAAAAAAACTCTACGTAGGTACTTGTTTGCTCATCAACACAACCAACCACTTTCACTTCAAATCATAGGCCAAAAACTAGCTGTCAGGGACCACATACATATTCTAAGCTTTGTTGTCATTATCTACACCTCTTTACATTCATAACATGCTTGATTAGAGGAAGTAAATGTTTGCCAAGATTATTGCAGGATCAAAAACTGGTTCTCTCAGTTAGGGTTCATTAATCTTGAAAAAGGCAAATTGGTAGCACCATTAGTAACAGTATTTCAGTTGTGTGCTTCATCAATGAAAAAGTAAATTTAACATACAGGAAATCAAACAAAAGATTCCTCTTGCACTTTCTCAGTCTCTCTAATGCCAAAACATTACAATCCAAATTGCACAATGAGATTGTTTTCAGAAATAAATAAATATATCCCTTCAAAATGAATTCTGAGAAAACCAACTGAAGCAGCTGCAATTTCACCAAAAAATAATTCAAATATTCTTTGGACTGAGTAGTAATCATATATATGAGTAGAAGTAGCTTAGATTCACAGTGTTGTAAACGCTCTACAAACACGTATTTTGTGTAATGAGATAAAGAAAAACACTGAGCAAAATAGACAGTGACATTTAGTCTTTGCCATTTATACAAGTCTTGCAACAAGACCTTTAGCACAAGACATCCTAAAATCTGATATATTATTCACGCAAGTGAGAAGTACTTATCACATTTTTACAATCACTGTCTAACCCAATACGTGGTTATCTTCTATAGACATAGAGATCATTTAGCAGTCACAAGATAATTTAGTTAAGAAGGCGTTTAGTCCATCCACCTGCTCAAAGCAACGTGAGCAAGGTCAAACCATTATGCTGGGCTTTATTCATCCTGGTCTTGAAAACCTTCAGGAATGAAAAATACACAGATTCTCTGGGCAACCTTTTCCAAGGTTTTCCTTATATCCAGTCAGAAACTCCCATTTCATTTTTACATCCATCATTTCTCATCCTTCCTCCACACCAATGTGAAAAGCATGACTCTGCCTTCCTGATGATCTCATAGGTACAGGAAGGCTGCTCTAAGCTCTCCCCGCTCTTAAGACTTGACTTACCCAGACCGAACAAGCCTAACACCCTCACCTTCTCTGTAATCTCCCCCATCTCCTGTTCTCCCTCTCAATCTAACCTGACCATCCAGATAGGCTCGATTTTGTTCCAGGGCTAAAAGAGAAGAAAGCACTGTTTCATTTTTTTTCTATTATCATATGAATACATATAGATTGAAAACCATGTATTAGGAAAAATATGCATCTCAGTCAATGCTTCTTAAAGATAATATAAATAGCAGTATTTTTTCTAGATTTTAACATAGAATTAATTTGAGCAGACTTTTTCTGTTCCATTTCAACTAATGCGTTGCCCTATTCCACCTCCACAGCTAAGGTTTTCAGGCTTCATTTATGCTATATGTATTCTGTTTATTAGACTACTTTTAATTTCATATTCTTCAAATTTGATGATTGCAGTCAAAGACAAGCATTGTACATTAAAACATTTCGAGCTGGTTAAGAGTTCAATATTCATAATGCTGTCTTGAAATCATTTGTTATGCATAGCAATCAAAATCATTCTATTAATAACTTAATTCTTATATCAGAAACGATTTTAAATCCTTCAGTCCTCCGTTATTTTGAGCTATGTTTTGAAGTACCATTAGTCAACTTTTGCACTTCCAGAAATCTGTTCTGAATCAGGGATCAAAATAATTTTATTAATCAAATCTAATGACATACTCTAATATTATTTGAAAACATGTCAGGACTAACTAATCATAGAATGGCTTGGGTTGCAAGGAACCTTCAAGATCATCTAGTTCCAACTCCCTTGCCTAAATACTTCTTTAAACACTGTTCTTTTAAATTGGGAAAAAAAAATTATATAGATAGATATAAATATAAATAAAAATATAAAAAAACCGCTAGACTACCTTTAGGAGTTCCATCACTTCCAGCTGGAGAGCAGACTGACAGCGGTGATCTCAAGGAAAAAGGTGCAGCATTCCTTATTGAAGGATCGCCATCCTAAAGTGACAATGATAAAAATTAACATCATGAAAACAAACATTTTATAAAATGAAGACTGAAATTAACCCATATACTGATAAAATGGATTGGATGAAAAATAGCACAAAAAGCAGAAAAATTATTTAGTTCAAAATCTTTATAATTTAGACTGCTATATAGGCAATATTCCAGAGCACAACAGCACTAAGAATCTATCAGCAGAATATGCACACAAAAATAAATTCACATACATATTATTTAGTTGAAGTAATCACTTCTGACTGACATTAAGATTCAATTTAGAAGTTTTTTGTTGCAAGTACTCATAGTGAAAGGCTAATAAGCATTAATATGAACTCAATATAACAACTGAAACTGAGCCTAAGATCTAAAAAGAAACAAAAAATTTTTTCCACTACCTTACTTTTAAGCAAACTACCACTTCATATTTATTCCCTCCAACATATACAAATCAGAACTGAACAAAATCTGTAGCACCTTCATTACAGCAGCTGAAATAGTTCTGTGTATATCACAACTTCAGTAATTTTAGCTTGTTATTCGCCTGTAAAAGTTCTACCATCTTTTCAGTTTTGCACAGAACAACTTGTTTTAATAGAATTCCTTCTGACAGGATTCATAATTTTCAAGTACAATGGAAAGATGTTCATGCTTTATCTTTAAAAGGATAAAATTGAATTTTTTCCCCCACAGCAGGTTAAAAGTAAATATGAAAGCCACTACTCAGACTCTAATTTAATACTTTTCTTTGTTTGTTTTGTTGTTTTTTAAATCCCTGCCATGGAGTCCTCTGCTGATCAAAAGTATGCACATTCAGCCAAGGACCTTACTAGATTTAAGCTTTTATAAAACAGTATTTCTCATTGTTAGTTTCTTAAACAACATCTGTGGGGATTTTGGGGAAAGAACAAATTAACAACCTGTATGGGAACTGCTGAGTCACGGCCTGAACCTCTGATTGATCACTTGAGGTGAGCCATGAGTCAGCCAGAGGAGCACAGGTGAAGGCAATTCTCCTGTGCTGCCGGAAGGGGGGGAGCCTGGCTGCACCCCTCCTAGACCTATTTAAGAGCTGGCTACCGGGGGAAGGATCTCTTCTGGTGCTTTCTGTAGATAAGCCTTCCATTTATTCTCCTTATTATCCTAGTCTATTTTGCCTAACTCTCTTGTGATCATAACATTTTAATAGCCATTGATTATATGCAACCTTTATATCTATGAAGAGAAAATTAACAGAAATTATAAACAAATTGATAAAAGTCTATTATTTTAAAAGAATGAAATCCTTTAAGTGAAGTCTCTGAAGTGGTTCTAAGGTTCATTTTTTTTCCTAATAAAATTCTGACTCCTGGTTAATTCAGTAGCTAATATTCTAATGCGACTTGTATTGAGGTAGCTGCATGTGCACACATAGTTCTTTCATGTAACTCCTTTTTCTTCTTCCTTTTTGAAAGATTGATCACATCCCATGTACATACATGCCATTCCTACTGTAGCTGATAATTTTTCAGACACGTTCATTTACTTTTTCCTGGTTCAGGCATTAATCAAATAGTGAAATGTAAGCAGAAACTTATATTTGAGGAAAGCTCTGAAGGAACTTAATTCCCAAGATCTTTAGTTCACGTACATATGCAGTAAGCTTCAAGGGTGCATTTACTGATTTTGCATATGTAATAGATTGCAAGTACAAAATATCCTGTAACTTATTCCCAACTTTTAATGCAATAAATTTCTAGAACTAGAAAGACCAAAGATAATGAGTGTTTAAGTTTTAGCTTTAATAATCCTCATTCATAGCTGTATCTGACATGGACACATGTTGGTTTTGACAGATGACTGCATTATCTTTCAAGTGTTTTTCAATAATTCCCAGAATAGTTTCCACAATTTTAGCAGGCACCAAAGTGAGGCTGACAGGCCTGTAATTATCAGGGTTTTTGTTCTTGCCCTTTCTGAAAAATTAGAATAACATTTGCTAGCTTCCTGACCACTGGGACCTCTCCAGGTTCCTAAGATTGCTGAAAAATAATTGAGAGATCTTGCAGTAACATTGTCCAAGTCTTTCAAGTACCTTGAGATGAATATTATCAGGCCCCATAGACTTATGGGCATTCAGTTGCAGCAGCAAAACCCCCACAATTTCAACATCAACTGGGAGCTTGCCGCTCCCACAGTTGCAGTCACCCAACCCAGAACTCGGCAAGCACAAATGCTTTTTTTAGTCCTTCTTTTGCTGTTAATGTACTTAAAAAAAATTTTCTTGTTTCAGGGTTTTGTTTGTTTGTTTTAAATTCATCACAGTACTGGCTAGCTTCAGCTCCAACTGAGCTTTGGTTGTTTTCTCTCTACAACAGCAAACAGCATCTCTGTAGTTCTCTTCTGTACCCTGACCTTGCTTCCAAAGTCCATGTTTTCTTTTTTCCACCTAAGTTCCTGAATGAGATACCTGTTGAGCCAAGTCAGGTATCAATAAGCTAAGTCTGTTTCTTTATGCCAGACCTTGATTATCTCCAGGGATGGGGCACCCACCCCATCTCTCTCTGGACAACCTGTTCCAGTTCTTCACTACCCTTACTGTAAAAAAACTTCTTCCTTATATACAGTCTAAATCTCTCCTCTTTTAGTCTAAAGCAATTTCCTTTGTCCTATCACAACAGACACTGCTAAAGAGTCAGTTCCCTTTCTTCCTACAGCCCCCCCCTTTAGACAATGAAAGGCTGCTCTCAGGTCTCCCCAGAGCCTCCTCTTCTCCAAGCTGCACAGTCCCAGTGCTTTCAGCCTGTCCTCGTAGGGAGGTATTCCATACCTTGGATCATATTTTTGTGGTCCACCTCATGATGCCCCATAACATCATTCCCTACAACTCAAAGGACAGAGAATACTACCCATGCTCCTGAATACTTCTCCAATCTCCCAAAACCTTAAGTCTTTTTTATTACCTTTGACTTCTCATGACTCTGTCACTAGCCATGTGAAAAAAGCAAGAGCATATGATAATCTAAGGACGTACTACACTAGGAAGTTTCCTGAATATATCCTTAACCCAAGACCCAGTGATTCAGCAAACTTACCTAAAAAAGGTGGGTCTGGTTGGCAATATCAAACTCTGACCCCCTACAGCAATAACCCATGTTCTCTTTATGGAGATGGTAATGATGTAAAGGGATAAGCTGACCTGACCTTGTTGACTCCTCTTGTATATATGTACCATCATTCACCTCATCATGTCCCTGCCCTTCCAATTTCAGAGCCTTATATCTGTTGTGTAAAGGCAAGGAAAAGTAGACCAGGAAGAGCTTTTCCCACTGACCTGAGTAAGGACTTATTTCCACTCACCTCTATCCCTCAAGTCAATGCCTTCTGCCTAGTAGAGAGAGTGTACAGAATCCCCCTTGTCGTCTGTTATGCCTAATTAACATTTTTGTTCCACTGAGGGCAGAGTACAGTTCCACCAGTTTCCTCAGGCTCACAAATGTTCCTCATCCTGTCCACTTGCTCCCGAAGGCCAGCCACCAAGCTCAGCAGTTCTTCTGCCTGGGCACATCTCTTGCAGGTATTCTTGCTACTGCCTTCAGACACCAGTAGAAACCTCTGACACATCCTGCACTGGAGACCCAAGTGGCTGTGTGTTCCCTTGGAAGTTGTGTTTGGGTAGCCACATTGGTTCCAGCAGGTGCTAATACCACAGAGGACACAGCTTTCTGTTGAGTAGTCACCATTGTTAGAGCACCCTGGGGAGAGATCCTGACCACTGGACAAAGGATGTTGGGGGTGAAGAAACTAACTCAGACACCAGATACCTCATAAGCCTCACACTGCTCTCAGCAGGCAGCAGCTGCTGCTGGTGTGTGCTTCACATGGCTTGAACTGGCACAGCAGGAAGAACTGGCACTGTCCAACTCTCACCTGGCTCCTATCATGAGACCTGTAAGCCTGCGCCAGCTAGTCCCTCCCCCTACACAGCCCAAGGGCTCAGAAACTCCCTCAGAATCACCACCACACCAAAATATCACCCAAACCTAGCATTCTTCCCAGCAGGTGACAGCTGCTGAGAGGGTTACTGCTTTTTAACTTTAGTGTTTCTCCAGTTAAACTGAACGATGAAAGTATGATGTTTCATATGTTCAGTTTTGAATAAGTTTAATTTCTAAGTTCCCACAAACTAGGATGCAGCTGTATTGCTTGAATAATGAAATTACTGCTGAACATTTTTAAATAGTGTGAAATTTAAACATTGTGAAATAAATTATTCTAATAATAAGTTCTCAAAAAAAGACCATCTTAACAAAACCAAGATTCTCTAGATAACATACCTTTAGCATAGCTTATGTAATGTCAAGAACAACTTATTTTCAAGAACTTGCACTACTGAAACAAACATTGAGAAAAACTATCTGATGTGTGTATGATGATAGATTCCTTTACTACAGAACTCTTTTAAGATACTACTTCCTAGCTAATAGTTTTCTTCAGCATAATTCTACTATTCAAAAATAAAAGAAAACACTAATGACCCTCTTGAAGTTTGACAGTATTAACCCTTGTAAGGGATTCAGAGAGCCTGATCGCAAATAGCACACTGGTTGAATGCAACACTTCTTTTGCTTCTACAAGCGTATTTAGAACAAAAAGAGTTACCCAGTTTGTGTAAACTAAAGAAAACAATTTAAAGAGAAAAAGAAAAGGCCTATTTGCCACAAACATTTTCATGAAGTTTTATAAATATTGCTATACCTACTATCACAGGCATCCTTCTAATCACACTGTTCAAAGTCCTAGTCAAAAAAGCATTAATTGAAACTTAAGTGCTCTCCTCTTAAGACTTGCTGTTAAGAGATTGTGTCAAGCTTCTCAAGAACACCCATCAAGCTTCATCCACAGGATCAGATTCTCATTAAAATGAAAATTAATCAATAGTTTGACAACTGCAACTAGAATAAACAACTGTGGAAGAAGGTTGTATTATGTGTTGTGGGGTTTTTTGTTTGTTTGTTTTTTAAGATATTAGCATTCAAGATCTCAGAAAGAATTCCTGCCAGAAGAACTCTTGCCTTTGGCAAGATTATAATACTACTCAACACATTATTCACATATGTCAAGACTAATTGAGAATTAATTGCAGAGATCTTCAGAAAGACAAACTACATACCTATTTAAAATCCAGAACTGTTTACATCAATGTGTTTATGCAATAAGTGTACTGACACTCTACCATTTCTTTTGAATGAACTCACACATTACTTTTCATAATTTCAACAGAATGAATGTTATAAACTGTTCCAAAGGAGAGATCTTCTGGTAAAAAGAAAATGTCACATATTAAAATTGCACAGTTGAATATACATGTCTGAAACTTAAATATATTTTCACTGGTTTTATCTATCAGTGACAACATGGTAAAATATCTGACTTTAAAGGCAGCTAAAGACATATTTGCTTTATCATAATAAATTGATTTTGGTAACATACTTCACTACTTAGTCTGTGCACCATCTGTAGGTAGTCTTCATTTGAGCCATGCCTAGAATTATCAGCATGATGATTAGCTGAACTTCCAGACAACTGACTGGAAACTTTACTTTCATGGAGATTCCTTATCCCAGCTGTGATAATGGGACTGGACACTGAAGCTGAAATACAAAAAAAAAAAAAATTATGCTTACATATACACACAGACATACACTAATTCTTAAAGGTTTCACAGAAAGCACCATAATTTTGGATATTAGTGAGTTAGAAACAAGAGGACTGGAATCTGAACAAGAATTCTTTTTTTTTTTCCTTGATTGAATCCTTTTGCCAAAAACACCTTGAACAAAAGTCAGATATTTAAGATTCAAGCTTTCAAGAGGATTCAAAAAAAAAAAAATATCTAGATTTCATGTACAGATTAGTCAAGACCTCTTCAAATCGATCCTAACTAGCATCACTTTCATTTCCATACAGGTTACAGAAAATTATTTTCTTTTTATAATTTGTATTCACTTCCTTTAGTATACAAACATTACAGTGTATTCATGAGACATGCCACATTGCATACAGAACAGTTATATACATATTCCAAGGAGACCACTTGTTGTGGTTTAACTCAGCAGGAAGCCACACAGTTGTTCACTCAGCAGGATGGAGAAAAGAGTTGGGGGAAAAAAAACAAAGTAGAACTTGTGGGTGGAGATAAAACTATTTACTAAGATGTAGAACAGGAAAAGGATAACAGTTATGACTATTTATAGAAATGTCTATAACAAGTAATGCACAAACAATTGCTCACCACCCCCTGACCAAAGCCCATCCACCCTTAAGCAGCAGAATAGAAAAAGATGCACTCCCACCCCCTTCATAACTCCTTCCCCACGATGTCATACAATATAGAATATCCCTTTGGCCAGTTTAAGTCTGCTATCCTAATTCAATTCCCTCCCAGCTCCTTGAGCCCTTTGCTGAGAATGGCCTTGACTTAGTAAACAATGATAAACATTACTGTGTTATCAACATTATTTTCCTCCTAGAAGCAAAACAGCATCATACCAGACACTCAGAACAACTCCGTCCCAGCTGAAACTAAGACACCGCTAAATTTTAAAACAGATTATTCAGATGAAACCAATAAGAAATCTACTTACCAACAACAAGAAAAAAAACTATCTATTTTTAGTGGAGCTCACATTGTTCAAAGCTGTATTTAGAAAAGAGAAGAACAGAAACTCATTCATTCACTCAGGTCATCTATGCCAATTACTGCGTGCTTTGAGTATAATTCTAAACAACAAAACATCAGCCTAGTCTATATGACAAAGGCTGGCTAAGGCTAAATAAGTTGTCAGGAAAAATTTAGTTATATATGCAAAAAATGAGGTTTTTGCAAGTACAGATAAATCACAGAATCATGGAATGGTTTGGGTTGGAAGGGACCTTTAAGATTATCTAGTTCCAATCTTCCTCCTACAGGCAGGGACACCTCCCTCTAGACCATGTTGCTCAAAGCCCTATCCAGCCTGGCCTCAAATGCTTCCAGAGAGGGGGCATTCACAACCTCAGCAGGCAACCTGTTCCAGTGTCTCACCACCCTCACAGTAAAGAATTTCTTCCTAATACCTAATCTAAATCTACCCTATCGCAGTTTAAAACCATTTCCCCTCATCCTGTCACTACATGTCCTTCTAAAAAAGACCCCCTCCAGCTTTCCTGTAGGCCCCCTTCAGGTACCAGAAAGGCTACTATATGACCTCCTCAGAGCCTTCTCTTCTCCAGGATGAAGAGCCCCAGCTCTCTTCAGCCTGTCCTCTTAGGGGAGGTGCTCCAGCCCTCTGATCGTCTTTGTGGCCCTCCACTGGACCTGCTCCAACAGCTCCATGTCCTTCATGCATTGATGGCTCTAGAACCAGACACAGTACTCCAGGTGGGGTCTCACACGAGTGGAGTAGAGGGGCAGAATCACCTCCCTCACCCTGCTGGTCACGCTTTTCTTGATGTGACCCAGGATAGGGTTGGCCTGGGCTGCAGGTGCACGCTGCCAGCTCATACTGAGTCTTTCATCAACCAACACTCCCAAATCCTTTTCCTTAGGGCTGCTCTCAAACCATTCTCTGCCCAGCCTGTATCTGTGCTTCAGATTGCTCCAACCCAAATGCAAGACCTTGCACTTGGCTTTGTTGATCTTCACGAGGTTGGCATGGGCCCATCTCTCAAGCCTGTCCAGGTTCCTCTGGATGGCATCCCTTCCCTCCCCTCTAGCATGTAAACTGCACCACACTGCTTGGTGCCATCTGCAAACTTGCTGAGCGTGCACTTGATCCCACTGTCCATGTCACCTACAAAGATGATAAATAACACCACTTCCAACACCAATCCCTGAGGAATGCTACTCATCACTGGTCTCCACTTGGACATTGAGCTGCCAACCGCAACTCTTTCAGTGCAACCATTCTGCCAATTCCTTATCCAGCGAGAGGTCCATCCATCAAATCCATTTTTCTCCAGTTTGGCAACCAGGATGTCATGCGGGACAGTGTCAAACATTTTGCACAACTCCAGATAGTTCTTTCTGTCAGTTGTTCTTTATCTACTGATGCTGTAACTCCATCATAAAAGGCCACTAAGTTTGTCAGGCATGACTTGCTGTATGGGAACTGCTGAATCACAGCCTGAACCTCTGATTGAACACCTGAGGCGAGCACCGAGTCAGCCCTGGGAACACAGGTGAAGGCAATTCACCTGTGCTGCCTGGAAGGGGTGGAGCCTGGCTCTGCCTCTCCTAGACCCATTTAAGAGCTGGCTACCACTAGAGGAGGATCTTCTTCTGGAGATTCCTCCTTTTTGAGTTTTCCAGTGAGCTCAGGACAAGGGTAAGTTTTTTTTTTGTTTTTTTTTTTTTTTGTTTTTGTTGTTGTTTTTTTTCTTTTTTGGTGTAATAACCTGTTTAGCCAAGCTTTTTTGCGTATTTCTTAATTCTAACATCTGTGTATTGATTATACACTTGCCCTTGGTGAAGCCATGCTGGTTACTACCAGTCGCCTCATCTTTATTTTCAATGTGCTTTAGTAGGGCCTTCAGGAGAATCTGCTCCATTATCTTGCCAGACACAGATGTGAGATTGACTGGCCTGTAGCTCCCTGGTTTTGTTCCCCCCCCCTTGTTGGAAACAGGAGTTATGTTTCCCTTTGTCCAATTAGAGGCAGCTTCACTAGACTACCATGACCTTTCAAATATGGTGAATAGCAGCTTGGCAACTTTATCCACCGCTTCCCTCTAAACCCATTCAAGGTAAGCAACAGTCATAGCTTTCAAGTAAGTGTTTTAGTCTATTGCTATATATAGATAACTATGCAAAGTAGATGTACACAGGGGAACAATGTAACATGAAGGTATGTTTTACTTTTTAAATACAATAATACCCTAAATGGTTTGGTAAACAAAGCTAAATACACAAAAATAATGCTCAATCAATACAAACATTTGCATTAAACATGTGACTCCTTTTAAAGGAAGGAAAGAAATCAAGATCCATGAAACACACGTGAAAGCAAAGCTGACACAAGACAGAATAAAACAAACATCATAGACTTACCTTGCTGCAACTGAGGATGCGGTGTGTAGCTCGGAGGATGTGAATATGGCACATATCCTGCAGGACTTTGAGGAGCATATGGACTAGGCACTGGACTGTTCTGTTGTGCCAGGAATCTGTTACCAGAGCTTGTCTGTGGTGGCACAAACCGGCTACAAATAAAAACGTAATTTAAGAAGTTTTTCAAAGTTATAAAAGCAAACATAGACAAGGTCATTACTCCTTTTGAAATAATTCATATGTAACTTACAAAAGAGGCATCAAACTCCAATTTAATTAAAGCCTTCAAAAACATTATTTAAAGCTATTGTCAGTTAGTTCTTGCTTAGTAAAAGCTTGAATGAAAATACTGGAATCATAGAATGACTTAGGTTGGTATGGACCTTAAAGATCATCTAGTTCCAACCCCCCTGCTGTGGACAGGGTTGCCACTCAACAGATGAGGCTGCCCAGAGTCCCATCCAGCCTGGCCTTGAATACCTCCAGGGATGGGGCATCCAACACATCTCTGGGTAAACTGTTCCAGTGCATCACTACTCTGAATAAATAATTTCTTCATAACGTTTAGCCTAGTTTTCCCCTCTTTTAGTTTGAAGCCATTCCCCTTTGTCTTATCTCTATCAGCTTGTGTAAATGCAGTACCCCAGATGGGGCCTCACAAGAGCCAAGCAGAGGGGGACAATCACCTCCCTGCCTACTGCCACCCCTCTATTGATGCAGTCCAGGATACTGTTGACCTTCTGGTCTGCAAGTGCAGACTGCGGGCTTATATTCATCTTTTCATCCACCAGAACCCCTAAGGCCTTCTCAGGGTTGTTCTCAAGGAGCTCTTCTCCCAGTTTGTACACATCTGGGATTCCCCCAACCCAAGTGCAGCACCTTGTACTAGGGCCTTGTTGAACCTCATTAGATTCTCATGGGACCAGTTCTCAAACCTGTCCAGATACCTCTGGATGGTGTCACAGAAACATACAATCACTCAGGTTGAAAAAGACCTTAAAGATCATCAAGTCCAACTGTGACCTAACCATACTACCTTAACTAACAGTTCTCTGCTAAATCTGCCCTTCTACTGTATTGACTGTATCACTCAGCTTGGTGTCATCAGCAAGCTTGCTGAGTGCACACTCAATCTCACTGAGAATGTCACTGATTAAGATATTGAAGAGCACTACTCCCAAGATGGATCCCTAGGGGATGCTACTTGGCTCTATGTACCAATGGAGGCCAGTGACATTGACAACCTTCTGGCTACAATTATCAAACCAATTCCTTATCCACTGAATTGTCAGCCTACTAATCCATATTTCTCCAACTTGGAGATAAGTATGTAGGACCATGTCAAAAGTCTTGCACAAGTGCAGGCACTCTATCATAGAAGGCCACCAGATTGATCAAGCACATTCTGCCCTTGGTAAAACCATGCTGGCTGTCTCAGATCACCTTCTCATCTCACATGTGCCTTTGCATTTCTTCTAATAGGACACGTTCCATGATCTTCCCAGGCACAGCAGTGAGAACAGTGAGGGTCACCAGCCTGTAGTTCCCTGGGTCATCACCTCTTCCTTTCTTGAATACGGGACTGATGTTTCTCTTCTTCCAGTCACCAAGGATTTTGCCTGACAGCCATAACACCCCAAAAAACAACGGATAATGGCTTCACAATTACATCAGCCAGTTCCTTCAGAACCCTGGGATGACAGCTAAGGTTTAATTAACAAATGACAACAAGCTTAAAATTAACAAGGAACCATCTACTCTAAATACAATTTTCCCCAGTGAGATTACAGAGAACTTCATCTAATGTGACCATACTGCCAAGACAGAGAAACGCGAAGGGCAGTTTGGCAGGAAATGATAGGAAGTCCACTGAATATAACTCATTCTTTCACTGGCTTTACCTTGGACTTAAATAGGATAACATAAAAAACAGACAAGCTTATTAGAAATAACACATGTATATCATAACTTACATTATTTCTTGTATTTTTTTTTTAAATAAAAGAAATATGATGGCTGCTCCCAATGTGCTATGCGTATATAGAACTTGTACCAAAAAAAAAAAAAAAAAATAAAGCTTCATATGAAGGTTACTCCAAGAAGATTCCTCTTATTCTGTTGATCCACAATGTCAGAGATGTATTTTGGTGGGATGGCAGTTGAGGTTGAACCTTCCCACCAATACTTTGTTCCATGCTGCTGCGAAACATGCGAAGAAAATGGCACCCGTTCACATTCATTGACATTTCTTGAACATTTATGGAGATCAAATAGTGGATGTGAGCATAGTAAGGGGTAGCTGGTACATTTCAGCAGTGGCAACAGCGACGTGAAAGGCAAGTCAAGTTCCAGACAGCCGTGTACAGCTGTCACACCACAAAATGAAGAGTATCTCAATCAGCTCATCCACACAAATCAGCAGACTACAATTAGGGAAGTGCGTATGGAGCCCATTATTGGCTTCAATGCATTGGAAACAACGGTGGCAATGTTGGAGTATCACAGAGTTTGCTCCAGGTGGGTTCCATGAATGCTCACACAAGAACGGAAAGAACAGCATGTGCAAGTTTGTCAGGGCCTATTAAAACAATACAAGGCCGAAGGTGATAGTTTCCTGAATCACATCGTTGCTAATAATGAGATGTGGAATTCCCATCGAAGAAAAAGTCCAAGACTCATCCCTCAGCAGGTAAAGTGATGTGCACTGTCTTTTGGGATAGGAAAGGGGTGATCATTCTGGACTCCCTGGAACCTGGACAAACCATCAACTCTGACCACTGCACTGCAACGCTAATCTGAAGGCTCAAACTTCCAGAGTCAGCCCAGAGAAGACAACAATCTTTCTCTTGCAATACAGTAATGGCAGGCCCCACACCAATTCAAAAACCCAAGGCTGACAATGTGGTTCAAAATGGACTGTCCTACTACATCCACATTATAGTCCAGATTTGGCACCTTTTGACTTCTATTTGTCTGGGAAGATGACAGATGGACTGCATGGGCAATGTTTTTCCCAACAGCAACGCTGTCATAGCAGCTGTAAAAGTCAGTCACTTCTGCTGGTGCAGATTTCTGTGAGCGTAGCACGCAGACTCTTGTCAATCAATGGCATAAACACATAGCTAGTAGTGGTTAATGTGTTGAAAAGCAGTGTTTTGTAGCCGAGAATTTAATAACAGTGTTATTGTGATCTTTGTACCTGTTGTAGCTTCCATGGAAACAAATAGGAAGCAACCTAGACACATGCTTTCACAACCCTCAGGTTCTAGATGCAACTCTTTGAAAATGGACACCATGATTATACATACATCCTATTTGACAACATTCAAATTTGAAAAAGCACAAAGATGTTGAATAGAAAGCTGCCAACCCAATTTCTGGGCTTATCCTCTTCTGAGTCATCTTTTGTCTAACTTCTATAGCAGTGCTCCATTCTTCATCAAGCATTCTCTCCCACTATCCTGTTACGCACGCCAGAACACTTCCATTCAGATATTTAAAGGAAGAATTGACTCTCACTGTAGGGAGCATTTTAAGTTCATCAGCCATTCCCACCCCACCATGTAAACACCACATTACCTGGAAGGGCTATGGGAGATAGTGGTTTGTTGATAACTGGAAGATGCACTACTACCACGCATAGGATTCTGAGAAATATTAAACTGTGACGACATCAGCATCCCTATTAAAAAGAAGACAACAGCATTACTTAATAGACATTTCCTTTTTAATCAAATAAGGATCTCATTTCATAAATTATATACAAACAAATTAGTAACTCCATGGGTAAAAGATTCCAATATCTGTAGTTATTAGAAAACATTAAATAAAAAGTAATTCTATCTAACGTGTCCATTTTACACCATAGTATGGAAAATATTCCCTAAAGTAGTGTTAATTTGGTTATAAATTTCAACAGAATTTCCTCTTAAATTCTTTAAACTTCCCAAAACCTGCTACTAAACAGGAACATCTTGTAACAGGACATGTAGTCACACCTCAAACTAACATATACAGTACAATGCCAACAAATAAAACGTTTGGGAACTTCACAAGTCAGAAGAATGCAGAAAACTTATCTCCCACTTTTTGAGCAAGTAGAACTAACAACCATCTCATACACATTAGAGAAAAATACTCTCACTGCTCCCATGTCTAGGTGGTTCCTTTCTACCCAGAGACAAAGTCTTCCTATTCAATTTTCAATACACTTATAAGGAATGTTGTCAAATAAAGTACTGAAATATTTTAAACTACAAAGTAGAGCCAGTGTCCACGTGTAAACTTACAAAGCCTGTAGATTTCCACAGTCAGGCTTTGGAAATACAGAAGTCATTCCATCTGACAAGTCCCAACAACCCCAGTGCTTGAAACTAATTAGCATCTTTATCAGGGATATTTCAGTTTTTATCATTCCCCACTACCACCTTCTCAATACAGGTGTAAATAGTTCCCTAACAACCACAACGCTTAAATTTGAAACAGTGCAGGTACACAAGAATTTACACAACTTATTGAAGAAGTTACTTTAATGACAAAAATCAAGCGCCTTACAGCTAAACAGAATCAGAGTTCACATGTAAACTAAAGCTTGGAAAACCACAGATGACCTACAGGTACAAGCACGTCAGTTTTCCAACTACTCGATAAACTGAAGGTTTGATAAAACGTTGGCTGTAAATCCACAACCCAGTATGCCAAGGAGTCACCAATCAGTCATCTCAATTACTGCAATACTTCTACCAGGAAAGCTTGTTTCAGAAATCCTCCCTGTCATTCTCTCTTTTCTTTCCTCTTCCTTCAGCAGAGAAGAGATGCAATAATACTCCAAGGATATAATCATTTCTATTTTCTGATAAGTGTAAAGTGCTGCATTCCAACCACATTAACACATTCAAGCAAGTTTAAACTAGGAATGAAAGTCCCTAGTCATGATAGTAAAAACATGCAAAGACCTCTATACCTCACTACAGAAATCATTTAATTGTTCCAAAAAACAGAAAGAGAACTTCTCAATTTCTGCAAAATATGTTTAAATGGACACTGGTTGCCTTGCCCGTATTCAGGCAACAAGGAAACCCCCATTTGCAAGTACAAATTATAAAAACACATTTGCAAATAGTCCCCAAGCATTTCCCATACAGTAACACAACACAATTGAAAACATAACAAGATGGCAGAGTAACAAAGCCTTAGACTACAGCAAATAAGGATCTACTTAGATGCAAAAGCAGTAGATACAAAAAACAAAAGAAACTACTTATCTTCAAAAAAACAATAAAAGCTACAGATAAACAAATACCACGAGATGAAATATCCTCACTACCACTACCAACCCTTAAATGAAGTGGATCCTGACTCTACCCCTTCTGGTCACTCAGCTGCATTGTATGCACCTGAGCTCCCCTGAGCTGGCCCTGCTTTCCCACCAGATGCTCAATCACTCATTCAAGCCATGACTTAACAGTTCCACTACAAGTGGTTTTCTGCTAGAGAAAATTCTGAGTGCCCACTGATTCACATATTGCAGATGCTCTAAGCAGAACACAGGATACTCATCAACTAGTTAAATTTTTTATTCTGAAACTACTAAAAAGGAGCTGAAAATTAGTCTGAGCCAATTAACACAAAAATATCCTGATCATTTTTTTTTACGTTGTCCCATTAGTAAGTAACAGATTTAAAGGTCTGATGTGTATTTCCATACCTTAAATATTTAAGAACTTCTTTGAAAAGCAATTTTAATTTTGCAAGTTGATAATTTTCAGTTTTAAGAAAACATCATTCCAGTAATAACATTCCTATAATAACTTTCCTTAATATACACTACTGATTTTGGCTGTATGCATTTTTTCTTGCTTGGAGAAAAGTGATATGCATAATTCCACTTTACCATTCCCACTAAATGCTGAAGAATGCACTACATATAAATGTAACTCAGGATCACAAAAAAGGTCTGTGATCCATGATTAAATCTGTATTACAGCATCATGTATTTTTAAGCTAGGACTGCTGACCTATTGATGATTTTTCATATATGTAGGAATGGAATGTTGTTTCTGCATTAGAACTAACGAGATAAGTATTTTACTAATGGTTTTTTTCAGGGGGTCTTTTTACTTCATCAGGGGTCTCTGATAGTCTTTGCATGCTCAGCAGATAGGTGAAGTAATTTATAGTCATAGAGATTAGGTAGATGGAGGAATTTATCACAGAATCACAGAATCACAGAATTGTAGGGGTTGGAAGGGACCTCCAGAGATCATTGAGTCCAACCCCCTGCCAAAGCAGGTTCCCTACAGCAGGTCGCACAGGTCGGCATCCAGGCAGGTCTTGAACATCTCCAGAGGAGGAGACTCCACCACCTCCCTGGGCAGCCTGTTCCAGCGCTCCGTCACCTCACTGTAAAGAAGTTCTTGCGCACGTTTGTGCGGAACTTCCTATGCTGCAGTTTCCGGCCGTTTCCCCTTGTCCTGTCTCCACTCACCACTGAAAAGAGTCCGGCTTCACCATTCTGCCCCCCACACCTTAGATATTTATAGACCTGGATCAGGTCCCTCTCAGTCTTCTTTTCTCAAGGCTGAACAGACCCAGTTCACTCAGCCTTTCTTCATAGCAGAGATGCTCCAGTCCCTTAACCATCCTTGTGGCCCTCCGCTGGACTCTTTCCAAGAGATCCCTGTCTGTTTTGTACTGGGGAGCCCAGAACTGGACTCAGTACTCCAGATGAGGCCTTACCAGGGCAGAGCAGAGGGGGAGGATCACCTCCCTCGACCTGCTGGCCACGCTCTTTTTAATGCATCCCAGAATGCCATTGGCCCTCTTGGCCACAAGGGCACACTGCTGGCTCATGGCCAACCTGTTGTCCACCAGGACACCCAGGTCCCTCTCTGCAGAGCTCCCCTCCAGCAGGTCATCCCTCAACCTGTACTGGTGCATGCAATTATTCCTCCCCACATGCAAGACTCTACACTCGCTTTTGTTAAACCTCATCTGGTTTTTTTCTGCCCAGCTCTCCAGCCTGTCCAGATCTCGCTGAATGGCAGCACAGCCTTCAGGCGTGTCAGCCAATCCTCCCAACTTCGTATCATCAGCAAACTTGCTGAGGGTGGCCACTATCCCCTCATCAAAGTCATTGATGAAGATGTTGAACAAGACTGGACCCAGCACCGACCCTTGAGGAACACCGCTGGTTACAGGCCTCCAACCGGACTCTGCACCACCAACAATGACCCTCTGCACTCTGCCAGTCAGCCAGTTTTCAACCCACCTCACCGTCCACTCATCTATCCCACACTGCCTCAGCTTTGTTATAAGGATGTCGTGGGGGACAGTATCAAACGCCTTGCTGAAATCAAGGTAGACTACATCCATTGCTCTCCCCCCATCCACCCAGCCAGAGACAACATCATAGAAGGCTACCAGGTTGGTCGCCTTATAGGTACAAAGACTGCTCTTCTCTGTCCAGCCACCTGGAATACCTCTGAGCCTTGAGTTAAAGAGAAGTTAGATATCCCACTCCTAAAAGTGTGATAATGCCTTTACAAATCACAAACCCTTGACAAGGTGTTATGGTTTTATGATTTTTGGTTTTTGGTTATCGGTATTCCACATCATAACATCATGTAGTGCACTGGGTGTTAAAGAGTTAATGCTCCAGTTCCAGGCCCCTGTCTGGAAGAGAACTACTACATATCCTGGAAGACTTTGCATTCAGGGAAGAGATACAACCCCTGGAAAGGTCACCTGATGTCCCTTTTTCCTTCGGCTCTCCTCCCTGCTGCTTGTCCCAACCACACGCATCACTGCAGCACTAGTGTAAGGCCTTCACTTTTCAGACACTCTTTCTCTCATTATATTTGATTTATTAGCTTCAATTCTAATTATATTGTATTATAGTGTGTTATCTTGCATTCTGATACTATATTTAGAAAATTAGTTTGTTTCTCCTGAGACTGTTGCCTCTTTTTTAAAATAAATTGGGTTCCTGTTTCCCTTTTCTGGAGTTGTGGATCTGCAGATCCCTCTACCCCCCTAGTCACAGAACTGGGCCAAACCAGCCCGTAAACTGTTGACACAAGGATAAATACCAATAGGATCATTATGTTGGAAGATGTCATGGTTCTATGTTTTTTTTTGTTTTGGGGTTTCAGTATTCCACATCAAAACATCATGTAGTGTACGGGGCATTAAAGTGTCACTGCCCCAATTCCAGGTACCTATCCCTGTACATTACAGCTGTCACGGGATCTGGCCCTTCCGGGTGGGGGGGGGCGCTCTCTTGCTGCCTTGCAGTGGGTGCTGGAGGGTGCTTTCCTAGCCGTTCCAAGCTTTTCAGGTTTGACTCGGTCCTGGGAACTCTCTCTCTCATCTTGTCTGATTTATTAATTTCAATTTCAATTAAATTGTATTAATTTTTGTTATCTTGTATTCCGGTATTATAGTAAAATAAGTTTTCCTCCATAGATTGTTGTCACTGTTCTTTTCCTCTCTTCCTTCCTTCCTTCCCATTTTTGTGGGACTGCAGTGGGGGGGAGGGCAGAGGCCTGTTGCGCCTGTCACAGACGTAGATTGATCTGGTCAACTCCGTGACAGATTTTGGTGCATTGGCCGGGAAATAGCTTTTAGAACGAATCTCTTTTTCTCTCTGCTCTTAGAGAGCTTCGTTAATGAGCATTATCA